CTAAGTGTCTTATTTTTTTGGTTTGCAGTCTGTTTGTGTAACGGTTTAACATTTTTCCTGCAGGCACAGTAGTCGTCCTGGAGAGTTACCGTGCTGAATGAAAACGGAGAGAACACTACATCACCTGATGAATGAGCGTCTGTTATCTGAACTGGTCGAGGGCCAGGGCGAGGAGAGGATGTCCAGAGAGGAGACGGTAGATGTTGTTCGCTAAACATTTTTCTTTTTTTAACTGACAAACAGGATGACAAACACAAAGTTTAAACATAACAGTTATAAAAGCACATCATAGACATAAATGGCACTTTTGAAGATGATAATCCATTTTAGAAAAGCACTTTAACGCTCATCATGTACAGAACTCCAGAGGAATCACCATGGAGTCCTTCTATTTTTTTAAGTTAAAACATCTGAGCTTACAAACGTCCCTCTCTGAAGAATTTGACTGAAAACTCTTAATGTATACAGGCCCCTCCAGACTCTGGCATATTGGGTTATTGCCTTGTTTAACACATCTATGTTTAATTTAAAAATGTTCAAACTATAAATAATTGTGGTGATATATTAATTAAGTTGTAAATAATGTAATATTTCCATCTGGATCACCACTATATTTAAATTAAACTATTATTTTCTCAAAGAATAATCATTTTTATTTTGAAACCATGTTTCTACCCCTCACTAAACCAGTCTGCATGTATTCTTTAAATTAGTTCACAGAGTTTTTGGTGTATGTTATTACCAGTTTTCTAACCATGGGCGGCACAGCTGGTCCTTTCCCCCCACTACATTTGCATTATATTGCAAGTGTTATAACCACAGCCATATTAAACTTCAGTCCCGTAGTCAGATCCAATAAAATTAACTGTTTCTTTAATAAAATGCACCCTGCAAGAAGACCAGATATTCATCGATTGTCTAAACTGCTTACCCACCAAGCGCTTCCAGTGACTGACCCATATGTTTATTTTGACACTACACTATGCAAAGCTCACCGAGTCAAGCAGTAGCAGTGGTGTCGGGGTAATCTGGGATTTATCTTCATAGCTTTTTCTATTTCACAGATGAATTTTTCTATTATCTTAAAAATACATTTAAAAAGCTCCTCAAATGTCTTAGTTTTTCTCATCTGTTTTGTTGTAGCTGTTGCTGTTTTGTTGTCTGTGTGCATTTTGTTTGCATTTTAGTGTTTTATCTATCTGCATGCATTGTGTTAAGCACTTTATTGCCATTGCATATGAAAATGTGCTATATAAATAAAACTGAAGTTGCTTTCAAGTGATTTCCACACACACATATGTCAAACAACACTGAAACTTGAGAGCTGATGTGGTTTCTGGCTGATAAAATCATTGGGGAAACTCACTACAAAGGCTTACAAGTTTGGTACAAACAACCAAATTTAACTCTGTTCACACACAAGATGAATCTACCAGACGTTTAGCAATTATTAACCAGCAGATGGCGTTCTTCCCTCTTTTTCCACAGCCTCTAATGTCCAGAAATGTTTGACAGTGTTTCTCAGAGTTGTGTTTCTCTTGCTCTGGGAGCAAAATGAAGAACTGCTCAATTGCTTTTTAATTGCAGAATAGTAGCTGAGTGAAAAGGCTCTAAACTCTGTTTATATAATCAGCTAAACCACAGTGTAGTCAATGAGGGAGTTACTCTGTGCAGTATGATGACACAAGTGACTGTAAGTCCAACTCTCATTGCTCTTGTTTTGTTCTTTGCTATTTCAAACAGACCGACCTGGAAAACAAATCTTGCACCAGGGAGCTTCAGATGACGTCTGTGCAGTAATGTCGTCATCCAGGCTTTCTTTAAATAGTTCCAGACCCAGATTTCTGTGTTTATGTCCCCATACCCTCCCTGTCCCTTCATACGTATGTGTGTACATACACAATCTTATGAGCACAATTACTCAAGTTTTGTCCTCGCACACCAGGTGACCCATTAGAAACGATGGACTGATTAGATTATGGGGCCTTGCTGCATAGATTTGCATATGAAGGAGGGGAAAAATTCATTTGGGAGATGGAACAGCTCTAGTGCTCTTTGTTTGCATGTGATTAGAATTTTGAAAACCTCAAATAAATTAATCAATGTAGTAAGTGTTCAGTATGGGTGTAAAATCCTCTTATAACTATCCACAAATGTGTATTTGGCAATTTACAAATGTGTAAAAACTGATGTGTGTGTCTCATAATGACCAAAAATGCGTGTGCAACAATACTGAAGCAAGCAAACTTTGTGTGCAGAACTGAAAAAGCATTTGCGAGCAAGGAGGCCTGACTCACTTCCACCAGTTTTGTCAACAAGTAAGCTGCAAGCTGGTTGTGGAAGGCATCCCAAAACGTTTGACCTAAGTTAAACCATTTAAAGGCGATGCTACCAAATATGTATGTAAACCTCTGAACCACTAGGAATGTGAGGAAAGAAATGAAAGCTGAAATAAATATTTTTCTCAACTATTCTGACATTTCACATTCTTAAAATAAATTACTGACACTAACTGACCTAAGACAGAGAATGTTTATAGGAGCTGTGTGTCCTATGAAATAATAGCATGTCTGTCAGCCTGACCTCTAGTAGAATGGAATTAGAAAACAAGCAAGCAGCCTGAGGTTTCACAGCCACCTGTGGTTGAAAAAGTACTCTGATCCATTGCTTTGGTAAATGTGCCAAAACATAGTGTAAAAATATCCCATTGCAAATAAGAGCCCTTGATTAAAGTACTACAAGTAAAATGTAGTTAAAGAATCCAAAATAGAAATACTTCTGCACAAAAACAACTTTGACTAATGACATTATGAGATTTATTACTGATTCAACAGTACACAAGTAGTATTTTAACACTGTAGCTGGATGGGGTGGATCTATTACTCTGAATATAGGTACTTCTATCAAATGTTTCCTAGTCTAGGGGTCGGGCTCCCATCAAAGGGTTACAAGGTAAAACACAGGGGTCATGAAGACAAAAGTTATGGTATACAAATGATAAAAATTTCATGGACTAATTTGTACATCACTGCAGTTGGTTGAACTACTTTATTACTGTAAGTCATCAAACAAATGTAATGCAGTAAAAAGTGTATCCATTCTGTCTGACACGTAGTGAAGTAGCAGAAAATCAAAATACGAAGTTAAGTACACAGAATTCAGTACTTGGCTAAATATACTTGGTTACCTGCTGCAGCTTAGGTATAGAAACAATTTATACTTCCTGATTATTTCTGTCCATCTGTCTGGTTTAAAGATGCAGTGATATATAAACACACGCACTGATCACGGGAGCCTGAAAATATAAGTCTGTGATCTGGTAGTGACAAAGCTCCAGTGTTGGCAAGCACAATCGTTTTGGAGCTTGTTCATTCTAACAACAGAATAATATTTGTTGATAAAAACTGATTGAAAACATAATCCACTCCAATACAGAGAGTATTGTACAGAGAATTAATGTGGCATCACAGGAGACAGAATTAAAAAGGAAATAGGGGGAAACATAAGATGCAGCGAGAGTCAGCCGAGAGTCTGCAGATGAAAGGCGAGAGAAAAGGAGAGTGTGGACAGTACTGGCACTGTGGTGACGACCCAGTCTGGTGTGAAGGACACAAAGGGATGCCATCAAGAGCGCACACACACAAACACACATAAGAGCAAACATGACCATGCATACGTACATAAATAACCTGTGTGCGATGTCAGGTTTTCCTGACAGATGGAGTCAACATATATTAAAGCCAGAGAGAAGAAGAAAAAGGGGATTGTGTGTGTGTGTGTGTGTGTGTGTGTGTGTGTGTGTTTGTCGCGGCAAGACAGGCGAGACAAAGAGTCAGAACTGAGACTCACGCACTCTAATGTGAAAGAAAATTTTTTTTTAGCATCAGTGTCATAGCTTGTGCCAACACCTCCCAGTCACACACACAGAGAGATGACTGGGTCCAGCTGTCTAGATTTCTCAGTCCAGCACTGTCAGACATCATGATGCTGCTTTGCATGACACAAAAAAAATATACCACCTATCTTGTGCTTGTTAAAGATTAAAAGGAAATGAAAAGAAGGAATTGGGGGAGAAATTAGGAGAAAGAGGCAGCGATGAGGAAGAGGAAGGACTGGATGGAGAGGGGCTGAAAGCCTAGAGATCAATTTCTTCTGTATATTTACCTACAGCTTCCTGGGTTGCTAGGAGACCAAAAAAGATGAAAGAGAAGAAGAGAGGCGAACACAAAGCAGGGAATAATTTCAGGGTTGCACTGATTGCCATTGTGTTTTTACCACTTGTGCTTATCCAGAGGTCATGCTGACAGTGGAGTGGAGAAGACGAATGGGAGAGGAGGACAGGGTGAGGAAGAGAAAGAATTAAATGAAAGTTAGTCAAATTGATAGGAAAGGAAAAAAGGGAGATGAAGAGACTGATGCGATGATCTTTAGGGGAACAGGCTGCATGAATAATTACTGAGATATTGACACTGGCTCTCATGTTGTCCCCCTCCTCACCACTGTCCATCATCCAGACCGCTGTCCACTCATTCCTTTTATTCCTCATCTAGCTTCCTTTTGCTTTCTCTCCTCCCTGTCTTAATCAATATGCTTGTTCTATAGGGACAATCAACAAATTTGAAAACAAGCTTTGTAAAGGACATAATCATCAGCTTCGGCTAATGGTTCACTATTATTACAGACTGCAAGGAGACTTTTGCAAATGTCTCATGATCATAAGCTGTTTTTATTTGTCTTAATCAGATGCACCTACAGTAAAATCTCTTGTAAATGTATGAATGAACAATACTGATGTAAACAAACAGCACTAATATGTTTAAAGTCAGATGAATGCATTTGGTCACTGATCTGACTGAGATCCACTGAATAACGGCTTGTTAAATGTGATCTCTTTGAACAGTAGCATTAGAGTGGTACACTGTTACTTTAAATGGAGGGAGAAGATGAGGAGGGCAAAGAGGGAGGGAGACAGAGAGAGAGGGAGACATAGTAGAAGAAAGGGGGGTCGTTGTGAGTACTCTCTCTTCTCCGTCTTGGAGAGGTGTGTAGGCTGAGTGCAATTTTACTAAAAGAAAGACAAGGCAGACAAGAAAGTGACTTCAGAGGAAATACCTGAAAAGAGCTGCACATCTTTCGAGGATATTTTGAAGACATTCAAACAGATTTAAGGTGGAACTGTCAGTGATTCAGCTTTCCTTAAGTACATATTAGACATGCGAGCAAATGGCAGATATCACTGACCCCTGATGAGAGAGCATGCTCACTTTTGAGGACTTTTAAGGGAAGCCAACAGTCGTGAAGAAAAATTCTCGCTGTCCTCCAGACTGCTGTTTCTTGGAGGGACCCGATAATGAGGTGTCTTTTTTAACATTAAAAAAAGAAAATCAGCCAAGATAACTGCTCTCCAGGGAAGACTAAAGTTTACTTAGTTGAGAAGCTTTGAGGCAGCAGAATATTCCTTTAACAGTTTGAAGGTTTAAAGTAGATTTGGAAAGATACAGGTTCTTTTACTGTATTTCACTGGAATAGAATTGAATATTTCTGGTTAATTTGCAGATATATTTTTTGTCACCAATTCTCCATAGACGTACACTACTTTCAGACAACTTGTGATCCAACTGTCGACATGCACTGCTGGATATTTGTTAACTCCAAGGATATGATCATTCACCATTGATTGTTTTTGTCTTCTACTAAATTGCTAACAACCATAGCAGAGAGGGACCGAGAGGCAAAATCTAGTTCTCTTGCATTGCCTTTCAAATTTCACCAGCCAGTCTTTATTTATAGAATTAAACAAGGAAAGTAAAGAAAGGGAGATGGCACAGAAAGAGGGAGGAACAGAGCAGGGGTGTGTCAAGACAGGGGACAATCTGGGGGGCAAAGCCATGGCCGGGGGCCCTACGGCGGGTGGAGGAGTGGTGGTGGAGGTCAGGGAGAAGAAGGGACCACTGCGGGCTGCGATACCCACGATGCCTTTCCCCCTGGCCGTTATCTGTCTGTTTCTGAACACCTTTATACCTGGACTCGGTGAGTTGGGAATCCTTTGTTTCTTCTTTTCATTTGTTCAGTCTTTTTGTGAGACAGCTGGCAAACTGGAGCACTGATATAAACAAAAGCTAAAAGAATGTAAACAGAGCTGAAATGGCCATTAGAGAGTTTACAGCTGTGGTGCCAGCATGCCAGTAGACAGCTAGATAAACAAACATGAAGGCAAAATAATTGAATAAATATCAAAGTGGAATGAAGATTGACCATAAAAGCTGCAAGGAAGGTTTCCAGGAAATGAATGACAAATTAAAATTAGTTTTGGGGGAGGAGACTGACTGTTAAAGTGCATTAATTTTTTATAATCCTTGGGGGGGAAAGTACCAATACTCTCAGGTGTGCCTATGTGTTTGTATACCTGTGTATTTTCTTGTATTCCTGCAGATGTGTGATAAAAAGGGTAAGAAAGACAGTGAGAGAGCCTATTCACACCTTGTGTTAAAATAAGAGCATCAGGGTGTAACACAGCCTCCATCTCCCAGGTGTTAATGCACACAGTAAATGTGGTGTCTAGACGGCAACAGAAACATCATCACTAAGGGTTTAAAACTCTATCACAGTCATTATTATGGGCTGCAACATCCTCACTGTGGGCGGACACATCATCACAGCAGGTAGGGGTGTCATCTAAGTCAGCAAGAATTTAGAATCAGGTCTTTATCACATGCAATAATAAACTGATGTTCTCTGTGTTGCCTCCTGATCAAGGACCCTGGAAGACAATCAACTCTTTATTGTTAGCGATTCCCCAACCAACCATTAAATGTGTTGTAGTTGTCAAACACATACAGTATAATGTATGTGGCCATATCTGTTCAATCAATTCATTATGTAGACACCCAAAATGCTTTTTATGCATTTTTCTTGACCTTAGTCACATTTCGGGGATATCTAGAAAGTAAAGCCTGATTAGTTTTTAATGCAGACATCACCACCATGTGAACATCTGTGAAGCTCTTTACAGTACGTCTCGTGTCCTTTGGTATACATCAGTTTAGATATTCAAAGACAATCCATCTGATCTGTGTGTGTTTTGCTGCAGATACAGATTTAGATCATTTTCTGTTATTAGGATGTCTCTGCTGTCTGTCGTACCTTTTCCCTCTAATTTCCTGTGTTTAATCCTCCACTCTGTTGGACATCTGTGTAATGTTTTTGTGTATGCAACATCTGCTAACTAACGACACACACACACACACACACACACACACACACACACACACACACACACACACACACACAGAATGCAGCATCATCCTCATTTGTACATTACAAAGCCTGTGGAGCCAGAACTGACACACACAGACATGCACGTTATGCTGCCATCATTTCAGGAGACAATACACTCACTTACATTAATTTCCTGGGAGCCTACCCTACTCTTAAGCTCACCCCATCCCTAGATCAAGTCATCATTCTAAAATGCAATGATTTACATTTTGGGATTTGCTTTTTGTCCCCATAAAGGTGTCTAGTCCCCACAGTGTGACTCTGGAAACGGAACATGAATAAGACCAGGCCACATTCACACTCACACGCTCTATAGTGTCCTGTATCCAGTCAACAAACCCTACTGTATTCACACCAGTGCAACACCATTACTAGCCCCAGCCTGTGACTCTCATGTATTATATACATTCGAGTAACTGAGACTTGCTGACTGTTTTAAAATGGTCGGCAACTCTCAATTTTTGCACATTAACAGATAAGGCAGGTCATTTATTATATTAACGGTATTTTCAGCAATCTCCATACAAAGACTAAAAGCATCAGTTAATTACTTTTACTCACAGTTGATGCCTGTCAGCTGTCAGTCCTCCATCAGCTTGTTCATCTTTGTCATAGACCTCCACTGTTGTCCAAAAACAATTAAAAACACATCAAGGAAACACACCTCTGCACTGGGTGACATGCTTTTTCATAACGAAACACCAGACCCAGCTATGCTGCCCCCAAGTCTCCTAGCTTTCATAATTTCTTGAAGTTAGCATGAGTCAGAGTCAACTGCACATGTGCAAGTTTTTGTGGGAACTCTCAGCTTTGTTTACTCCTCACGCTCTGGTCTGGGGTTTTTACTAATGAAGGAACATGTCTCCTAGTGCAGGGGTGTGTTTCCCTGATGTGTTTTTAATCCTTTTTGAACAACAAAGGAGAGCACAGACTAAGAAGCTGATCCAGGACTGACACACTGACGGACATTAACTATGAGGAGAGGCAATTCAGTGTCAATTTCAGTTTCTGTATGGAGATTGCTGAAAATACTGTTAATATACAAAATGACCGACCTTATCCTTTAAAGGAAGATCATCCCTGTGACTCAAGTGCATGTAATACACGAGCCACAAGCTGGGGCTACACCATTACCAGACAAAGACACATACAGACATCATAAGCTATAAATCTTCAGCTCGGCCTCAGGGCGTACAATCTCACATACATGCAGACATTCACACACAGTCATTCACTAATCTAGATTAGTCCAGTGGTTCTGCTGAAAAGCAGCAGGACATAAAATGGTAAAACAGGTTGTTTTAGAAACAGCAGATCATGTACAGCAGCAGTTATTGAAGTGATGATCCTACTGTGTGAAACACTGTGTGAAAAGAAAACAAAGAACAAAAACAGAAGAAATACCAGGGAAAAACAGAAAGTCGTGTTTTTCTCTAAAGGGATTATGAAAATGATGCCTCCATAGAAATCCCTCAGCGCCGAGTCTATAACCTATGATGTGTCCTCTCCGCCTTTTGGCTCTAACCTATTGGTCACTCTGACAAGTCATGAGTGTGTTTGTTCATCCTGCTTCATCTTATTCAT